ACCAAGCCCTGTTCCATCAAAATTTAAAGAACCTGGCTCCATCCTTGAAGAAGTGCCAGACAGGAAACTTGGTAGAGTGACATTTTTTTATATACTACTGTCTGATCCTTTACAAGATAAGTTCTTACATCTATCTAGTGTAATCTTCTCAAAAGGATTTACAAAATCCAGACCCTGGAAATTACTATATGCACAAGGTCTGAGCATATTATTGAATGCTCTGAAAGACCAAGTAGAATGAAGGGACACTTTTCAACCAGAATACAAAACATACAAATCTCCTGGATCCCTTTATATGAAAGATGAAAATCCTTCCAAGACGATATATTTCTTCATAATGGTGTCATGCCTGATCATTCCATTTTAAAATGAAATAACTCTTAGGCTTATATAGCCAAAACCATGTCCACATGTACAATGTGAACTTATTTGGGGGTTGTTTGCTTGTTTCTAGTTTCAACTTTGGATTATAATTATCTTCCTAAAGTCTTGACCACGCCAGAACTCCCAGTTACCAAATATGGTAATTATATTTTCTCATACGTTAGATAAAATTGAAGATAATTTGTTGTTGCAACATAATTCATTCCCCAAGGCTGCACTGAACATAACTTTTTAAAACATGTCTGTGGTCATCTGCAGCACTTCGCTACACCAGTGCATAGTATTAGCAGACCATTCCCTTTCATTCATGTTACTTAGATCTTTATTTTCCTGAGGTTTAACTCCCATTACACTTTTAGAATTTTTTCTTCTTCAGTTCAAAATCCTTTCATAAGATACGGTTAATATCATATGGTAGTTTGAATCTTGTACCTTCCTGTCAAAAGCGAAATTAAATCTAGACTGGACTTCCTTTCAGCTTCCTATGAATCAAGCCCTGATCCATCAAAATTTAGAAAACTTGACTACATCTTTTCAGAAGTGCCAGAAAGGAAACGTGGTGGAGTGACTTTTTATTTACTTTTTTCTGCCTTACTACAAGAACTTCTTGAACCTCTATGGCATAATTTTATTCAATAGTACTATGAAGTCAGTACTATGAAGTCAGTAAAATTATAAATTGTATAAATTCTAAATGTTGTGATCCAATACTGAATCACCCTGAATGTACCCTTTATAGAATGGGAATAGAGGTAAACTTCACAATCCAAGACATTCACCATATACATTAAAACTTCCTATGAGAGTCCATATAGAGGAATAAGACCCATCTGAGGCAATATTTTTCTTCATCTTCAGATCATGCATTTTATGACGGCATATTTCTGATTCATGTTTGTAAAATATTTAAAATTATTTTGGGGTACATAGGTGTCCTTCAATGTTGACATCCTAAATTTGAGGGGGGGGTTGGTTGCTTGTTTTTATTTTCAGCTGGGGCTTATAATTATTTTCGTCAACTCTTGACCATGCCAAAGCACCCATTTACTAACCTGATAATTGTTATGCATTAGATAAAATTGTTTTCAGTATGATTCTTAGTAGATAGGTAGATCATGCATTCCTGGTCACTCCTTGGACATGAGTATTTTCTGGATTGAACACAACTTTGGAACATGTGCTCAGGTGCATTAATTCTTATTAGTTTCTAATCTTAGTTTCTAAGATTATATATCAATTTCTGTTTTTAAAGCTACAATATTTTTTTGTAAATTAGTGTTGCAGTTACAGGCATTCGGAAAGGTTTTCCATATACTAATAGTTCCCTTTTTTCCCCGGTACAGTTTTGGAACCTATTACGTTTAGCAATGAACTTCCAATAGTAGGTAATAGTGTTTTCCTGGCACACTGATTAATTTTCTTATTTTACTTTCTTGTTCAGAAATCCATTACATGTTCTTTTCTGTAAGATCATCTAACATCATCTTTTTTTCATTAAATCCCATCCTTTCTCTAGGTTTGCTAGTCATTTAGCACTGAAGACTTTTAACCATTCTATTTATTTTTTTTCCACAGTACTGCTTTTTCTTTCTTTCCTTGCACAGTGATTCAGTCATGTGAAAATAACTGGAAGTGGCCATATTATACGCAGTGAACTCCCACGTGTTTGTAATTTCCATTTCTTTTTTAAGCTGGCTCCTGAAATTTTCATAAATCACTAATTTTATATATGTATTGAGGCTACTCTTTCCAACCCTTTTGTGTGGCTGATTTTGTACACTTCATATCCACAGCATGTTTCTTCACCTTCACCTTCACATTCAATTTTAAAATGCCTGACCTGACCCTATTTACATCTTAATAATTTTGAAGATATTTTTTTCTTTTTCAGATGCAGAAACCAAGCATCATGTTCCGATCACTAAAACAACAGTCAACCCATTGCTACTACCAAAATCTGGTAAATTTTTATATTGTTATTTAAATTCTCTCCATGTGTCAAAGCCTGCATTAAAAAAAAACCTACATAATTTGGGAATAAAAATTTATTAGTTTTGTCCTTTTAGCAGTGTTTTTCTTATTAAATTTGTCTCTGAGAGGCATATAAGAGAAAGTAATCCAAGAAAAAAAGCAACAAATAGTAATAATCAATAATAGAAAATCTGGCCCATACTCCTCTCATGGATCCAAAAGCAATAGCCACTCAGTCATGGAAGGGATGATCTGAACTTATTTTTCCCCTTCAGACTTCCATAATCTTCAGATACTGTGACAGAACCTCAACAACTTTTAGTTGTTTGAGTGAGGACAGATTTATATAGTTGACTGTCATCAGAATACTGATAATGCTTTTTACCTCATGCAGAGGAATAATCCACCCACCCCCTTCATTTCATGTAGATGTTAAAAAGAAGTAGGGATGGCATAGAGCTATGATGCGCCCACAAAGAAGAGCTTTCAGACTAGACTCCAAAACCGCAGCCAGATAGATGGATGGATGGATGGATAGATAGATAGACAGACAGACAGACAGACAGACAGAGAGACAGACAGACAGATAGATAGATATTTCTAATTCTAATTATGCCAAATGAATTTCTAATAAGAAACCTGATTTCAGTATCTCTGCCCGTGTACAATAATTACTTCTAAATAAAACACTACATGTTTTATTTCTTTTCCCAGCTGTTCTATGCATCAAAATCTATTTAAGCAGGGGTGGGATTCAAATTTCTTAAGAACCGGTTTTGTGGGCGTGGCCTAATGTCTGAGTGTGGCTTGGTGGTCATATGACTTGGTGGGCATGGCTTGCTGACTGGATGTGGCTTGGCAATCACATGACTGGCTGGGTGTGGCTTGTATGTAAATATTGTAAATATTTATTTTTTTATTAAAAAAGAGCAACTTTACCCAAAATCAGGCAAAGCAGGCAGGCAGATTGAGTTGCTCACAGAATCACAGATTCACTTAGAGATCTATCTATCTGCAATCTGCTACCTGAGTCTATCACATAAAATTTTCTTGCAAGCAAACTCACAAAATTAACTCACAACACACCAAGTGTGTAAATATTGATTTTTTTTATTTTAAAAAAGAGCAACTTTTACCCAAAATCAAGCAAAGCAGGCAGACAAATTGAGTTGCTCACAGAATCACAGATTCACTTAGAGATCTACCATTCTACAATCTTCTATCTGAGTCTGCATTGAAAAATAGAAACTTCAGTCCTAAGGAAGGTTCAGCTCTGTTTTTAGATTAGCTAGAAAGCAAGAAATCCAATGATTTCCTGCTTTCTAGCTAATCTAAATCTCCCGGCACAGCAGAAAAACTGATGGTTGGGAAAAAGAAAAATAGAAACTTAGCAGGCAAGTTTGATGGTGCGCATGCCAGGTAAGGAGTGAGTGGGCGGGTTGGGGAGGGGAGGAGCCAGGCAGTGGCAAAATTTGCCAGTTCTCCTAACTGAGCAGAATCATAACAACTGGTTCTATAGAACCGGTCCGACCAGGTAGAATCCCACCCATGCATTTAGGTATTAAAATGTATGTCCCATCTATATTTTATACAATATTCAGTGCTTACCATGACTAAAAATACACACACAAAATAAAAATAAAAAACAATTACTTTTATATTAATTTTGTTCAAATTTAAATAAATTCAACTAACAAAGTTTTAGTAGAAAAGTTGGTTTTTTATGACTTCTTGAAGTCCTGGGAGACTGGAAGCCAAATGTGCTTCCTAGGAATGCACATTATAACCTGGGACGTGCACATTATCACCCTTTCCAAGGAACGAACTGGGTCAATTACTAGTGAAAGTGAGTTGATTCTCAAAAGGGCCTCTTCTGATAATCTATGGAGCCAGATTGGATCCATAAAAAGAGACATGGCACTTCAAGGAATGAGATGCATTTTTAGCTTTTCTGGAGGAAACAGTGGAGTCCTTTGTGGTCTCTGACCTTGGTTATTTTATTTCAACAGAAAACCCGCCATCTCTTTCCTGTCAGTTACTACAAATGCAACTTAAAAGGCTTGGGAAGCCCTTTTGTGTCTGAATAGTCTCATCACTAATACAAAACCAGTCAGCCATTGACACCTATTTCTTTGTGCATAGATTTAAACTATTATAAAAGAATGTTACGTGTCTTTTAAATTCTATAAAATACACTTTGTTCACATGTGCATGTTGGTAAATGTGCCAGTCAGTATACAGCCCAAGGGTCTGGAAAAATGTATCAATCAATAACTAGCATTCTTGGTTTTTTTTTCCTTAAGAGAAAAATCATGCCAGACATAAACCTCAGACCAGCACTGAAGTCCCACAGCCTCGGCATGGTAAATCCCTATTTATTTTGTGTCAATACACTGATCACATTGGTTATTTTAATATTTTGGCCATAGCTAGGAATTCTTTTCCTAAAAGTGTGATTCACTACTTAAAGAAATCTAAGACATCCAATCTATACTGCATAATCAGCATCATATGTTCTTATAATAGTATTGTATGTTACAGTAGATCACATTATGTTCTCATTAAGAGTTAACTGAAAACAGCAAGAAAAATATTCTGTGCTCTTAAAGAGATGTAGTTTTATTTTTACACTGAAAATAATTTGGGAAAAAAAGGATGATAATGATTGCTCATTTCAAGAATCAGATTATGAAAATACTTTCTCAATAGTTTTTGATGGATGGAAGTGCTCCGTCGAGCCTCGCTGTGCAGCGAAAACTGTGCACGTGCAGCGTGTGCACATTTTCAGCGAACCAGCACAGACCTCATTTGAACTCAAATGTTTTTATTTATCTTTCTTGTCACTTGATGAAACAGCTCCCTTGAGTAAGAACTAACACATTTTTTTAGTTAGACACGCCAGTGGTTTTAGTTAAGTAATGGAAAAGAGCCTGAGAGGTGGTTTCTCTTGTATAGAACTCAGACCCACCGTACTCCATTGTATCCAATTCAGAGAATTAATATTGTAGTTTAGTTTTTAGCTTTTTTAATCAGTATTTTTATAACAGTACTTATATTTATAGCATCGCGTTTTATTAAACAGTCACATTATTATTACTGATTTTTATTGGAGATGATAGATAGATAGATAGATAGATAGATAGATAGATAGATAGATAGATAGATAGATAGATAGATAGATTAGAGACAGAGACAGATGTGTGTGTGCATATATATATATGTGTGTGTGTGTGTGTGTTTTCTTAAGTTTGTATATACACATATACCTATACCTACACATACACAAACACACACACACACACACAAATATATATATATATATATATATATATA